ATGATTAGACAAATTGCACAAATTTCCTAAAAGTTTCCATAAGTTTATTTGTGTATTTATAAATAGTCAATATTCAGTTATTAAGTTATATTCATTAGTTATAATAAAACTATTTACGGTAGTAGTAGACATTTACTTACCATAAATACTGTAATAGTACCCCACTCCCCTCGTACAGTCGCGTAGTCGCAAAAGTTTTTTATTATTTCATTTTTTTCAAAGCGCCCGTACTTTCATTTGCGTCTTTGGTAGCAAAAAATAGCCCTGAATTGCAGCTATTTTTTGATAACCTAGTTGGCATTGTAGCATAAACCAGTGTCGAGAAAAACTCGTTCAAAGCTAGACTACGCAACACTCTGCACCGTCATTATGGCTGAAATAGCTGAAATTAAGGGCTATTTTTTTGATAACAAAGATTCCGTTTTACTCATGTATCTCTTTCATTTGACGTCACTATTCCCTTTCACTTCCAAAATCGTCCCTATTTTCTCTGTTTAAGTATTAAAACAAACAAAGATTCGCTTCAGTGGAAGACCGACGATTGTCCAAAGAGGACCATGCAATTTGCAAGTTATTGTTGGGAAAAACACCTCCGGAATGGCTGTGTGAAGGAGAAGTTCGAAAATGATAGATAAGATCTGAATTCGTTGATAAGATTGACTCGAGTTCATCTGAGACAATTGTACTGAATGCTGTGACTGATATGTTTCAAAAGCTTTTAAGTTCTTTGGAAATCTTTTCCAATCCCAAACCTTTCCAACTTTTGACATTGCTATGCGCTTTATATAGAGTTGTACTGGCCTATCAAAGCCTTGACAAGCAAGCAAACTCAAGTCTTTGATCAATATTTGATAGTATTGATCCTAAGCCTAAACCCTGATGTTTTATACCTGATGCCACATCAAATGCGGCTTATATCCTTTCATATTCGCCGGCGTTGCAACGATGATCACGTAAAGAGTTGACAAGTTCACAATACCGCCAAAAACTCCAAAAACACCCATAAAAGTGATGTAGGATGTTGGTGTTGCGTAAGCAATCGATTGAGTGATATTAATGCTCATATTGAAAAAGAAATGAAATATTCTATCAGAAAAGGTGATTGAAGCTTGGCAGGTGGAATTATTGGGGAAATCATGGCGTTTTTTTTTGAGAGATTTGTCGAATGGGACTTTTTTGTTTGGTAGAATCAAGAGATTGAATTATTAGGTGCAAAAGTGGACTCTGTTTAACGTCTACCATTGTTGACTGTGAATAAAAAATCACCAAATTCATAAAAACCTTAACAATGAATCTTCTTGTACTTTAAACTCTAGCAAAACGCGTCTCTTCTGGCATACAGGACAGTTTAGTAAGCCATTAGCTGAAAGTTAGCGCTAGTAAAACATTAACTGTGCTAGAAAGAGTGCGTATATCGGAGTGCAAAAAGTACGAAATTGTAGGCAGATTACTGTTGAACAAGGACAATTTCAGTCGAATTTTTTGGATTCCATATCTAGATCACAATCCAGAACACATTTCCCTTCTTGCAAACAACTTTTTGAAGCCTTTCCCTTTTCCCATTTTGGATGTATAAGCTGAGAAGAGGCAATCAAATTGAGAGAATTCCTCTCCACTTCACCCATTCTAAAAAAGACATCTTATTTTAGCTCACTCAGCTTTTAAGCCATCACAAAAGACTTATAAAAAGATGAAAATATTGAAGTTCTTAACTTTTCATTGTTCTTTTCTATATTCTGTGATTTCTCCATGTTCTTACAAAGAAATGACACTGTCACCAAATTCGATCATTTCTTTATCAACTGATGATTTTGTGTCTGAGCTAGAAGTGCCTGAAGATCAATTTTGTTTGTGAGTCAAGCTTTATCTCAATCTTTTCGATCATTTCTGTAATCTTTAGAATTGTGATTTCTGGAGTGGCAAGGGAAATCGTTCTAGCAGGTAGATTTTGTTGTGAAATTTGAAATTTTCTTTCAATTTGACCAAACACCTTTAGAATTTATTGTTTTATTCAATCAATCTAATACTTTTCAATCAAAATCCTAATCATTTTAGATCCTGGTTAACAATTAAATTCAGTTTCAACATCACTAGTCTTTTCACATCGACAAAAAGCAAATGGACATCGGATTACAATACAATCGAATGGCAGCGTTCATTCAATTCAACGACAACCATCGGCACGTTATCTATTGGGTTGGTGAATTGAAAACTGCCGGCTATTGGGATATGTGACGGTTTGAGCACTTTCTTCAAAATAAACCCATTTTGATGTCAATGGAAAAGTTGTAGAGAATCAAAAATTAGGCTTATAGCCAAATTTTCAGAACGATTCAAAAACTGGTTTTCAAGAAATACCCAATTTACTAATTTTCACAAAACTTGCATTTTAAGCGAAACTACTAAGTGTGTCTTTTTGGAAATTTGGCTATAAGCCTCATTTTTGATTCTCTACAACTTTTCTATTGACACCAAAATGGGTTTCTTTTGAAGAAAGTGCTCAAACTGGGACATCTCCAGCCCTCCCTTCTGGGGCCTCACACTTGTCTCACACACAAACCAAAACCCTACTACGAAAGAGGAATCCGCAAATTGCCTGTAAAATGGGCAGAAGTCGTCAATAATAATGGAAATTATTCGAAATGAATTCATGGTTTTATGTTCAATAAATTTTAGTCCAGCAGTTTTCAATTCACCAACCCAATATCATTTATCTAATTGTTTTTTTTCAAAGAGTTTTAAGAACGCTTTCACTTTGAATTTTTCAGCATTTCCTTCTTCTTTCATTGCCGATTTCTATAAGGATTCCTCAGAATTTGAACTTTCGCTCAATGCTTACATTTACACCGACAACTTCGTGTAATCAAGGATTTACTTGTGCATTGCCTAGGTAAAGATTGGAAAAGTTAGAAAGGAAAAGAAATAGATTAAAACTTTCAGAAGAAATATTAAAGAAGAAGAAAGAAAGAAGAAAGAAAGAAGAAAGAAAGAAGAAAGAAAGAAGAAAGAAAGAAGAAAACTTCCCTTAAAACTAGAGATTTTCAGAGTTTGCATCTTAAATCACTACTATTGTGATGGGAAGATGAATTGCGCGAATGATGAGACGAATTGTGAAATGCTCGGGAAAACAATGGTTAAGATTTACGAAGTTTATAAATAGTGTGCAGTGTGTGAGAGAATACCGATAGGGACGATGATTATTAGATATTTATTCCGAGTCTAGCACAATACTAATCTAGCGAGAAAATACAAAAGAATAGAATCAATCGTTGGTTCAGTGTTTCATAGCAATACGAAAAAGCAATATGAAGAGACAATACAAAAAGCAATATAAAGTGGGCGTCAAATAGCCATTCAATTTCGAGTCCATGTTCCCATTCGCATTCGATCACTTCAGTGATATCTTCATTTCTTGGCTCGACGTATGTTCTCCAGAAAAAGCAACCACTTGCAAATGTCCGGGCCCCGAACACGCTTCTTGGCATCGAGTCACTCCAGGTCGACCGTTCATGTCCTTGAACTCGTCCAGCTCCGCTTCTGGCTCAACTCAACATCGTGCCCTCGTGCACTCTCCCATTCCACCGCATCTTCTCGAGTAGATCGTTTTCAGCATGACGTGCCGAGTGTAGTCTCGTCGAGTAGGCGAACAACGATAGTACGGCGTCGGAAAAACTCTTAAAGTCGTCACGGGTCGGCCCTCGTGATCTCTGAGCACAATAATGATGGGGGCAATGACTATTAGATATTTATTCCGAATCTAGCACAATACTAATCTAGCGAGAAAATATAATAAAATAGAATCAATCGTTGGTTCAATGTTTCATAGCAATACGAAAGGCAATACGAAAGGAATAGACGGAAAAGATAATATAAAGTAATCAAAACATTGAATAAGATTTCACAGTGGGCTCCGTCCCTTTTATCCGTCCCTTTATCATAAAAGCGATCTTTTAGAGGCGGGACAAGAAAATCAGACATTCAAATCAAAGCATTGAATAAGATTTCACAGAAAAGAGCCACTTTTCTGCACAAATAGTAAGCCATTAAGATTTGAGATTTGAGATTTGAGATTCGAGATTTGAGATTTCTTTTGGTTAAAACTAAAGAAAATTTCATTCATTCATTCTTCTAGCAAAAGAGTCAACACACGGAATTTTTCGTCGAATACGCCGCGTTCTCTTCATCACAAATCATGTTGATCGGCTTTTTTACGATCAATTTTTTCTTTATAGGTAAAAAGAAGAATCCAATTCCACACATTTACAATCTCAGTTTTCTTTATTCTCTTATCATTGTGCGCTTTCTCATCGAAATTAGCGAGAATCGTCTTCCGAGCAAGAACAAATCGATCTTCTCCACTATCTCAGCTGACTCGTTGGTGAGTTAGCCGTTGAGTTAAAACAAAAGAACGAAAATATCATTTTTTACATACCATGTGTACAAGACAATGCATATTGAATACCAAAGAAAGGAGACGCGCTGACTTACAACAACCGCGCTCAATATGATATTTCATTGTCCAGTAGATCTCAAGCTTTTTTTATTAATATTAATACTATTTTGAGTCAAAAACAGCTTCAAATTAAACTCTAACCCTCAAAGTTACAGGCAAATCTCAAAATCCCGATCTGTTTATGGAGAGAAGAGTCCAGAAACGCTTGAGGTGAGCAATTTTCGAAACTAATGGGAAAGTACTAGGCTTTTCTTGTTTTTTGATTTAAGTCCGGCAAAAAATCAAAAGGGAGGGGGGTTGGGGGTTTTTTTTTTTTGTTCTCAAAATTAAGGTGAGAACCCACGTGATTCCCTTTTTTCCTTTCCTCCCCCTTTCCTTTAGGCTTTCACTAGTTTAATAGTGGATATAGGTGGATTTAAGTCCGGCAAATGTTCAAAGAATAGTGGATTTAGGTGATTTGTAAATTCGTATACAAATTTAGGAACAAATCCCATGTGGCTCCTTTCGTCGATCCCCTCGTTCACCCCGTTCTCCCCGTTTCTCACCGATGGCCAAACGTCAAAACGAGCATCGAAAATCGCTAATCGCTTTGTTAAGCATTCAACCGATTCTCCGAGAAGATGAGCCGGGTTCGTTGCTGTTTCAGCTACTGTTCTCGCTTTCTCGTTTTGAACATAGCTGTGAGATGTGATTTATAATCCTTTAACCTGTAAATCCCTTGGGAAATATTCCATTCAACTTGCTTTGTAAATAATTTTATTTCCCTTTTTCAGAACATGAGGAAGGTGGATCGCGTTGCCTTCCCACCCTCCCCTCACCCTCATCATTTCCCCATCGAAAAGTCTCAATGCCCGAATTGAATCCAATCATTCCGAAGTTGAACCTGAAACGAACGAGTCTTCAACCCGGATCACAGGCATTTCAAAGCTATCGAGGGAAAAGACCATTTTAATGAATGAATTTTAAAATAGATTTTAAATCTAAAAACGAAATGGGAAACAATAAAAAAATGCTTTTTTTTTCTTTTCACAATTGATCTATATCGAAAAGAGAATAACTTTTTATCGTACTTCTTCAGAAGTACGAAAAAGAGTTCTTCTTTTTTCTCTTATCATCAAAAAGAGTTCTTCTTTTACATCTTATCATCAAAAAAGATTGATCTTATCCCCTCAAATCTATGCAATTTAAATTTTAGCTTAAATTTGCATATCGAAGTGTGGGGATAAAAATGACAAATACATTACGGCGTACTTATGAATTGTTTTATTCCCCGTTTCCAGAAGGAGGGTCTATCAAATTGAAATTTGCATACGCATAAATAACCATCATTGCTTGAATAATAATTTCGCAATACAACAAAGGAAACGATTTATTGGGTTCGTGAATTGAAAACTGCCGGACTTTGAACTAAGATTTATTCAACATAAAACCATGAATTCATTCGAAATAATTTCCATTATTATTGACGACTTCTGCCCATTTTACAGGCAATTTGCGGATTCCTCTTTCGTGGTAGGATTTTGGTTTGTGTGTGAGACAAGTGTGAGACTCAAAAATGGAAGACTGGAGATGGAGCCTGGAGATCCCAGTTTGAGCACTTTCTTCAAAAGAAACCCATTTTGGTGCCAATGGAAAAGTTGTAGAGAATCAAAAATTAGGCTTATAGCCAAATTTCCAAAAAGACACACTTAGTAGTTTCGCTTAAAATGCAAGTTTTGTGAAAATTAGTAAATTCGGCATTTCTTGAAAACCAGTTTTTGAATCGTTCTGAAAATTTGGCTATAAGCCTAATTTTTGATTCTCTACAACTTTTCCATTGACACCAAAATGGGTTTCTTTTGAAGAAAGTCCTCAAACTGTCACATATCACGATAGCCGGCAGTTTTCAATTCACCAACCCAATATTTACACAAAGTATGGACATTGCTATCCTAGATCCCACTGTGGCTCAAGTTCCACTCAAGCTTTAACGGATTTTTAAATTAAAATTACCTTTTATACTTCTATAAGATAATCAGTTTAACAATTCACTAATACTGGTACAATACTAGCAAATTACTGGCACTTAACATCACTTTTTCTTTCCGTATTTTGTAGGTAATAACGACCACCTTTTGGCACACTCGTCCAGACTCTCTTCGGTGTGCCAAAAAACGTTCGTTTGCAAAAAGTGCACAAAGTACACAACAATTATAGCAGTTCATTATCAGCTCGCCAGAAGAGACGCGTTTGCTAGAGTTTAAAGTGCAAGAAAGTTCATTGTTGTGTTGTTGAAGTTGAAAGTTGTTGAAGTTTTTATGAATTTGGTGAATTTTTATTCACAATCAACAATGGTAGACGTTAAACAGAGTCCACTTTTTCTACCTAATAATTCAATCTCTTGATTCTACCAAACAAAAAAAGTCCCATTCGATAAATCAAACAAAAAGAACGCCATGATTTTCCCAATAATTCCACCTGTCAAGCTTCAATCACCTTTTCTGATAGAATATTTCATTTCTTTTTCAATATGAGCATTAATATCACTCAATCGATTCCTTACGAAACACCAACATTCTACATCACTTTTATGGGTGTTTTTGGAGTTTTTGGCGGTATTGTGAACTTGTCAACCCTTTACGTGATCATCGTTGCAACGCCGACGAATATGAAAGGATATAAGCCGCATTTGATGTGGCATCAGGTATAAAACATCAGGGTTTAGGCTTTAGATCAATACTATCAAATATTGATCAAGGACTTGAGTTTGATGGCTTGTCAAGGTTTTGATAGGCCAGTACAACTCTATAAAAGCTTTGATAGGCCAGTACCTCTTTTTATAGCCTCTATAAAAAGCTCATAGCAATGTCGAAAGTTGAACAGGATTGGGATTGGAAAGGATTTACAAAGAACTCAAGCTTTTGAAACATATCAGTCACAACATTCAGTACAATTGTCTCAGATGAACTCGAGTCAATCTTATCAACGAATTCAGATCTTATCTATCATTTTCGAACTTCTCCTTCACACAGCCATTCCGGAGGTGTTTTTCCCAACAATAACTTGCAAATTGCATGGTCCTCTTTGGACAATCGTCGGTCTTCCACTGAAGCGAATCTTTGTTTGTTTTAAATTCTTAAGTAAATGTATACTAACTAATTGGCTTTTTAAAGGCTTACCCTGCTGTTGAAAAGGGTTTCGCAATTGTTTTTTTTTTGCTTTTCCTCAAATTACTTTTTAGTTTTACAAAAAGAATTACTGTAGATCTCTAGAGTGACTTCTTTAAACTGTAAAGTATTTAATCAATTAAATATTAGATTGATACTTACTGTAAATACCGTAATAGTACCCCATTCCCCTCGTTTTTCTCCGTTTTTCTCCCCATTCCCCGGGCCGCTCCCAACAAGACTCCGCTCCTTCCATCGAGCCAAATCCACACATGACTGGTGTAGGACAAACTTTCCGGATTTCATCTCGGCCCAGCAATGGCCTCCGTATTCGTGCGATCTCAATCCGTTGGACTACAGTGTTTGGTCAATTTTGAAGGCAAGAGCTTGTGCAAAGCCCCACAAAAGTTTGGAGGCTCTTAAGCGACCGTTGACCAGGGAATGGGATCGAATCACTCCGGCCGAGCTGCGGCCCATCGCCGAAAATTTCATCAAACGTTTGAGGCTCTGCATCGGAGCCAAAGGTGGCCACTTTGAAGAAAAGTAGGTTTTATGCTCCCTTTATATCATGTTGTTAATAAAAAATTCTTTCTGTTACAAAATCTTTTTGGATTTTTAAAAAATAGGCTAAATTAGGCCGCAACGTTATTTCTGGTCACCCTGTATTTACGTTAATACTAGTCGTTTTTAGTATTTCACTTTTTGCAAAGCACTCGTACTTCCAAAAAATGCGTCTTTGGTATCAAAAAATAGCCCTGAATTTCAGCTATTTTTTTATACCTAAGCGCCCATTGTAGCATAAACCAGTGCCGAGAGAAACTCGTTCAAAGCTAGACTACGCAAGACTCTGCACCGTCATTATGGGGGTGCACATCCGCGCGAAATAAGGCGAAAAATCGTTTTCTATCCGCTTTCCATGTTTGAATAGCTATTCAACGCAGAAAAATGTGCTGATTTCAATGGTGAAAAAATTATCAAAATCCGTCTGATACATTTTTTAAAAATCGCGTTTTATCGAAAAAATCGCACTTTTACAAGCAACTCGCTCGCAGCGACCAACTTTCGGCGGCTCGTTTTCAGCGTGGTCGAAAGATTGCGCCCTCAAAACCGATAACTTTTGTGTGGACGTTTATAAAGATCATTTTGATACCAAAAAATAAAAATTGACAACTCTGCGAAGACTTGATGCCTTTTAAGTTGAAAATGACGTTTTGCGACTTTCTGCCCGCTAAAACGTGGGCAATCGCCAACAACCTATTTAAAGCAGCCAGACATTTATATTACCTATTTACGTGTCAAAAAGCATGAAGTAGAAAAGCCGCGCTTGTTTCCTTTCATTCATTTCCTTATTCTTTTCTTTGGCTTTTCTCGTCGTGTTTTTCGTCATGTGTCTGCAAATTTTGGATTAATGCTTAAGGGAAGTTTTTTAAAATAGATTGCTTTGTTTGGACGAATTTCAGCCATCACCACCACATCAAAGCAACGAAAAGAGCAAGATGTTCCAAGCGATGACAAATCACAGGTTTAGTTGGGTCTTTGAAGCGTTTCTTTCAACATTTTTTGCATTTCGATACCTAAATTTATGCGAGATTAACAAATTGAATAAATATAACGCCTGAAAAGAACATAAAGCATGGTCGTAAACTTTCATATTAAATAAGACCCAAATCAAATAGCAAGACATTAACAGCGTGTCGTTAGTGGCGAATAAGAGTGTTTCGAGTTTATTTAGACGTTTAGTTCGACGGCATAAATTGCCAATGATTGAGTGCAATGATTCCAAGCCCTCCTCACCCATGTTACCCAGACAATTATTTTCGTTCAAAAACTCTGAATGTGTTTCAACGCTACGTGTGACTTCACGGATCGTGTTCCAATATCAAGAATTTCCATACTTGAGAGAAGTTGTTTTAACTTTTCACAAATATCATCAATCTCTTTAACCGGTAATTGTGCTTTAGTTGAGGCTGAACTTCGAGAGAAGTCACGAAGATATCCAAACAATTGCACAAATCACTGTAACGAGATGACATTGAAACTTTTCGATACATATTTCGATTCTGACAAAGTTTTTGATTTTGGACCATTTAGATCATCTGACCTGTGCGTCTTGAGAAATCCTAGCTTTTGAAAGCTCTTCAATGCACGCGTTCCAACGAATTAAGATTAACTTCAGCTTCCATAGCCTTGAATATTTGATTTCCGAATCCTAACTTGATGCAGAATCGGAGGAACACAATGTTTAGGCTCAATTTTCCATACATATGGCCGAAGCACCCTTTCGATTTTCGGCATCTTTGTTGGAAGTTTTAAGCGCTCATCAAAACTCAGGATGGTACGCTTTCGTAGTGTGTTTGGTCTAATTTCTCCTTAACGCCCGTAATTTTTCGCGTCTTCACAGCTTTAAAGAAGCACCACACACAGGGATACGTTGAAGCCACGACATTCCGAATGCAGAAGCCATGAAACTGAGATCACCGCCCAAGAAGAAGGTACAAGGTAAAGGTGAAAGCTTTTCAAACAAGTCCTTTATCTTGCACAGATTTTCGTTATTGCCATAACCATACCACGCGGCAAGTACAGTTGATTGTAAGGGGATTTTGCTTTTCCGACTTGTCTGGAAACATGATTGTAACTTTGGTAATATCCAGTCCTTTATCACATAAAAGTACAGCACGGTGTTTCTCGTTGTCTTTAATTTTAGACAGTCGATATTGGACGGAAGAAACATGTCTTTTAGCTTCACAATATCGCCTTCAATTTCATAGTCGACGCTTTTGCAAGGGTTGCTCGTACCATATTC